AGTACGCGCGTAACCAATTGCACTGGGGATCTCGGAGAGGGCTTTTCTGTCAGAAATATTGAAAATAGAAAACAGTCAATAAATTTGCACATTACTCGATATTTTAGTTTGTTTGGTGGGTTTATGCGCAAAACTATTATTGATTATGCTGCCAAATATGGTCTAAAATATATATTCGCATATTTAGAAACTTGGAAAACAAATGTCTTAAAATGCTAATTAGAAGAGGTTATTGAAGCATAGATTAGAATCGTTGTCAAGGTTATCGAAAACAGCGCTTCCCCAGGATGAGGCTCGAGCTCACAGCCTCGGCATTACTCGCAGATACTGCTGTATAAGTAAAGCGCGTAACCAATTGCGCCACTGGGGACTCGGAGAGCACTTTTTCTGTACAAAATATTGAAAATGTGAAAAAACGTTCAATAAATTTTGCATACAACTCGTCATATTTTGAAAACTTGGACAGAAGAACAAATGTCTTAAGAGTATAATTAGAAGAGTTATTTAAGCATTAGATTAGAATCGAGTAAAGGTTATCGAAAACTTCCCAAGGTGAGGCTCGAACCACAGCCTCGGCATTACTCGCAATACCGCTGTATAAGACCCTTGACTACCAATTGCAGCCACTGGGGACTCGAAGAGTGCTTTTCTGTACAGAAATATTAGAAATATGAAAAAACCAGTACTCAATTTGCATATTCTCGTCATATTTAAGAAAACTTCAAGAAAAAAAGTGTCTATAAGAATGACTAATTAGAAAGAGTTATTTAAGCATAGATAGTCAGTAAAGGTTATCGAAAAGAAGCGCTCAGGTGACAAACTCACAGCCTCGGCATTACTAAGATACTGCTGTATAAGTACCGCGCTAACCAATTGCGCACTGGGACCGCGAGAGCGTTTTTGGCAATATGAAAAAAAATATGAAAAACAGTCAATAATTTGCATACATTACTCGTCATATTTTAGAAAACTTTCAGAACGAAAACAAGTGTCTTAAGAGATGACTAATTAGAAAGAGTTAGTTTAAGCCGATGTTAGAATCGAGTAAATGGTTATCGAAAAGAAAATCGCCAGGTAAGGCTCAACTTCACAGCCTCGGCTTACTCGAGATACTGCTGTATAGTACCGCGCGCTAATGAATTCGCCACTGGGGGACTGGGAGAGGCTTTTTCTGCTGGAAATATAAAATCTACGAAAACATCAATACGAATTTGCATACATTACTCGTGATATTTTTAGAAAACTTCGACGAAAACTATTTGAATTCAAAATGAACTGGTTCAGTCACTGAATAGAAAGCATCTCGTTGGTTAATTTTCATGACGCGTAGCCAGAAGTTACGGCACTAGTCTAAGTTGATTGGTTGTTACAATCTATATATTGTTCATTTGTGTTTTTAATGAATCGTTCAGTCAGTCTGATAGTAGACGTAGCTGTAGTCAGCTGAATGGATGGCTGTCATTGAGTGTTTGGGCTGCAGACAGCAGCGTAATCTTTATTTGTTATACAGTAAATTGCATTAAGCTCTTTTGTATTTTAAAACTGCCTGGTATCTGCGTTACTCTGCAAATTACACTCATGACATGCCAACAGTGGTTGAACGTTTATGGGCCGTGCGATCCCTTTGATGATTGCCAGATGCAGTTTTAAACCCTACTGTTTAAAGTAAACGGAAAGAATTGTGCCTGTTGGTTTGTGAAGTCTATGAAAGCAGATCAAGTGAATATGCCGGCCCAGGTCTTCGCCATTTGCATTCGAAGTTGGATGGTTCCAATTATACTTGGAAGGGAAGACATGAAGGTCGTGCTGATGGATCGTGGTTGTTGGAGCTTCATAGTTGAAGATGAAGCCATGTGTCTGAATGAAGCTACTGAGAAAAGAAAAGTTCGAGTATGATTGGAGAGAAAGCAGAGATGTTGCACTACCATTTACCAAGGCATCAGAAAGAAAGTTCCTACATTAATCCGATACACAACGGATGGTAAAGAAGCATGGAACATTTTGAAAACAAATTTCGAACCAACCTCAAAACTGATTAGCGGAAGTTCTTATTGATGAATTTTTCGAGCTCAGTTTAATCCAGTAGAAGAAACCATTGGAATTTTTTGCAAGCGAGTCGATGAAGAAAACTCAAGTTAAGAGGAAGCGGGTTTTTTGAGAAATTCCTGAACTTTTAATCGCATTACAACTTATTAGAAGATTGCCAGCCGAGTATGATAATTTGGTTCAAACCCTCTACAGATTGAAGGATGAAGAATTCAACCATCTGAAGTTGAAAACAACTTGTAAGCAGAAACTGGACGAATTCGCTGAAGCAGAAGGATTTGAATCTAGATTATACAGAGGATGCATACCGTGAGTCATTTCGTCTGCAGGAAACTCGCAGAAATCTTCTGAACGCAGGAGTGAACAGTGCTGGACCCTTCAAGAAACCCTGGTCAATACAGGAAAATCCATTACCCTAAGGAATGGGGCCCGTCTTGTGAATTTTGTTCCCACCAAAGGACACGATGCATCTAAATGTTATAGAAGCGGAATAAAGAGAAGAAACAAGCTTTCATCCGGAAACTTCGTTCTGTGGGACTAATCAAGCCTTTGAATTATCGACGGACTGCAATCATTTCTTGATAGACACCGCAGCGACTTCCCATTTCTGTTATGAACGTGATTGGTTTAAAATTTTAAGGAACTTAAAACGACAAAGCCTCCTGGCCGACAAAGAAATCAACCTGTGAAATTGAAGGTGGTAATATTGACTTCATCGTTCAAGACATTAAAGGTAATGTAAAATTACTTTAAAAGATGTTTTTTTTTCACTCCAAATATGAGGAGGAGCTTTAATTAGTGGAGCCAGAATGGATATAGCAGGACTTAAAAATAATTTGGTCAAACAATGTAATGCGTATATGTCATTCTAATAATGGTCTTCTTTCAGCTTTTCGGCGAGATATGTTTTATATAGTATCTGGTTATCCTTTGATATAGTAGTGTAATGTATATAGTGTAGATTTAAATTTATCCATAAGAGATTATGCTGCCATGTCAATATTCCTCTCTTATTAAGGATATGTGTAAAAATAAATCGGTTAAAGTTGGAGAAAGTAAATATTAAGGTGATAATAGATCTGTATAGCTTGTAATGTAGGTAAAGCTTAACAGAACGTCTCTGAAAAAAAAAAGTGTGTACAAGCAGTAAACAAGTCTGTTTTGGACAAAGTCCACATGGATTTATGGGGACCTGCACCTGTTAATTCTTTGGGAGAGGTAAATATTTCTTGTCCATAATTGATGATTTTTCTAGAAAAAATGATGTATTTACTCTTAAAAGTAAAAGTGAAGTATTTTCAATTTTAAAGTACTTATCTAAGGTACAACATTGAATTAGGAAGAAACTTAAAGTGTCAGAACGGACAACGGATTGGAGTTTTGTCACAAAGATTTTGAGACATTTTTAAAGAAACTTGGGTATTAAGTGAAAAGAACATCTTTCTATACACCAGAATTAAATATGGTATAGCTGAAAGATTCAATAGGTCAAAGTATGGAAGCAGTCAGAACTATGCTGCAAGATAGTGGCTTACAACCAAGGTTTTGGGCGGGAGCACTTCATGCCTATGTTCATACTAAAATCGGTGTAGTCATAAATTAACAGAGGGAAAAACGCCGATGGAAATATGAATGGGACATAAACCCTCCATTAGACATTGTCGTGCATTTTGGTTCACTAGCATATGTGTATGTACCAGCAGTTAATAGAAATAAATTACAACTTAAAGCTAAAATTGGAATATTGGTAGGTTACGCTGTGAATAGAAGAGGATAGGGTGTGGTGGTACTTATACAGCGGTATTTGCGAGTAATGCCGAGGCTGTGTGTTCCAGCTTCACCTGGGGTAGCGCTTCTTTTTCGATAACCTTTACTCGATTCTAATCTATGCTTAAATAACTCTTCTAATTAGCATTCTTAAGACATTTGTTCTTCGTCCAAGTTTTCTAAAATATGACGAGTATTGTATGCAAATTTATTGAATGTTTTTCACATTTTTCAATATTTCTGTACAGAAATAGCGCTCTCCGAGTCCCCAGTGGCGCAATTGGTTACCGCGCTTTACTTATATAGCAGTATCTGCGAGTAATGCCGATGCTGTGAGTTCGAGCCTCACCTGGGGAAGCGCTGATTTTTCGATAACCTTGACTCGATTCTAATCTATGCTTCAATAACTCTTCTAATTAGCATTCTTAAGACATTTGGTTTCCTCCAAGTTTTCTAAAATATGACGAATATATATTTTTAGACCATATGTTTGGCGCAGCATAATCAATAATAGTTTTTGCGCCAGTGAACTCCACCAAACCAAACCAAACTAAAATATGACGAGTAATGTATGCAAATTTATTGACTGTATTTCGTAGTTTTCAATATTTCTGGACAGAAAAAGCTCTCTCCGAGTCCCCAGTGGCGCAATTGGTTAGCGCGCGGTACTTATACAGCAGTATCTGCGAGTAATGCCGAGGCTGTGAGTTCGAGCCTCACCTGGGGAAGCGCTTCTTTTTCGATAACCTTATCTCGATTCTACTCTCGGCTTAAACAACTCTTCTAATTATCATACTTAAGACATTTGTTATTCGTCCAAGTTTTCTAAAATATGACGAGTAATGTATGCAAATTTATTGACGGTTTTTCGCAATTTTCAATATTTCCGTACAGAAAAAACGCTCTTCGTGTCCCCAGTGGCGCAATTGGTTAGCGCGCTGTACTTATACAGCGGTATTTGCGAGTAATGCCGAGGCTGTGTGTTCGAGCCTCACCTGGGGAAGAGCTTCTTTTTCGATACCCTTTACTCGATTCTAATCTATGCTTAAATAACTGTTCTAATTATCATTCTTAAGACATTTTTTCTTCGTCCAAGTTTTCTAAAATATGACGAGTAATGTACGCAAAGTTATTGATTGTTTTTCGTAGTTTTCAATATTTCCGTACAGAAAAAGCGCTCTCCGAGTCCCTCAGGCGCAATTGGTTAATGCGCGGTACTTATAGCAGCAGTATCTGCGAGTAATGCCGAAGGCTGTGAGTTCGAGCCTCACCTGGGGAAGCGCTTCTTTCCGATAACCTTTACTAATTCTACTCTATCGCATACAACTCTTCTAATTATCTTACTTAAGACATTTTTTATTCGGTAAGTTTTCAAAATATGACGAGCAATGTATGAACTTATGACTAGTTTTTCCTCTTCTAATATTTCTTGTACAGAAAAGCACTGCTCCGAGCTCCCAGTGGCGCAATCTGGTTTAGTCGCGCGCTACTTAGCCAGGCAGCAGTTCTGGAGTAATGCCGAGGCCTGTGTGTTCAGCCTCACTGGGGAAGCGCTTTTTTCGATAACCTTTACCTAGATTCTAATCTATGCTTAAATAACTCCTTCTAATTAGCATTCTTAAGACATTTGTTCTTCGTCCAAGTTTTCTAAAATAGTGACTAGTATTGTATGCAAATTTATTGAATGTTTTTCACTTTTTCATATTTCTGTACAGAAAAGCGCTCTCCGGATCCCCAGTGGGCAATTGGTTACCGCGCTTTACTCTATACAGCAGTATCTGCGAGTAATACCGAGGCTGTGACTTCGAGCCTCACCTGGGGAAGCGCTGTTTTTCGATAACCTGAACGATTCTAATCTATGCTTCAATAACTCTTCTAATTAGCACTTCTTAAGACATTTGTTTTCGTCCAAGTTTTCTAAAATATGACGAATATATTTTTAGACCATATGTTTGGCGCAGCATAATCAATAATAGTTTTTTGCGCCAGTAACCCCCAACCAAACCAAACTAAAATATGACGAGTAATGTATGCAAATTTATGACTGTTTTTTCTATATTTCATATTTCTGTACAGAAAAAGCTCTCCGAGTCCCAGTGTCGAAATGCGGTTGCGGTACTTATACAGCGGTATTTGCGAGTAATGCCGAGGCTGTGGGAAGTTCGAGCTCACCTGGGGAAGCCTTGCTTTTTCGATAACCTTATCTCGCGATTTCCTACTCTTGAACTCTTCTAATTAGCATCTTATGACCTTGTTTTTGTCGAAGTTTTCTAAAATATACGAGTAATGGCAAGTTATTGACTGTTTTTCGTAATTTTTCAATATTTCTGTACAGAAAAGACGCTCTTCAGGTCCCCAGTGGCGAATTGGTTGCGCGCGGTCTTTACAGCAGTATCTGCGAGTAATGCCGAGGCTGTGAGTTCGAGCCTCACCTGGGAAGCGCTTCTTTTCGATAACCTATCTCGATTCTACTCGGCTTAAATAACCTTCTAATTAGCATTCTTAAGACATTGTTTTCGTCAAGTTTTCTAAATATGACGAGAATGTATGCAAAGTTATTGACTGTTTTCGCATTTTTTTCAATATCTGCCACAAAAGATGCCTCTCGGTCCCCAGTGGCGCAATTCATATGTGCGCGGTACTTATACAGCAGTATCTGCAGTAATGCCGAGGCTGTGAGTTCGAGCCTCACCTGGGGAAGCTCGTTTTTTCGATAACCCACTCTTTGATTCTAATCTTCTTAAATAACTCTTCTAATTAGCAATTCTTAAGACACTTGTTTTCGTCGAAGTTTTCTAAAATATCACGAGTAATGTATGCAAATGTTATTGACTGTTTTCAATTTTCAATATTTCTGTACAGAAAAAGCGCTCTCCCAGTGGCGATGAATTGGCGCGCTCTTATACAGCCAGTATCTGCGAGTAATGCCGAGGCTGTGAGTTCGAGCCTTCACCTGGGAAGCTTCTTTTCGATAACCTTATCTCGATTCTAATCTCAGCTTAAATAACTCTTCAATTAGCATTCTTAAGACATTTGTTCTTCGTCCAAGTTTTCTAGAAATATGATTATATTGTATGCAAATTTATTGAATGTTTTTCACATTTTCAATATTTCTACAGCAAAAGCGCCTCCCGAGTCCCCAGTGGCGAATTGGTTACTGCGCTTTACTTATACAGCAGTATATCTGCGAGTAATGCCGAGGCTGTGACCCTAGAGCCTCACCTGGGGAACGCTGCTTTTTCTGATAACCTTACTGATTCTAACTATGCTTCGTCAAACTCTAATTAGCATTCTTAAGACATTTGTTTTCGATTTTTCTAAAATGCGATATATATTTTAGACCAAGTTTGGCAGCATAATCTAATATTTTTGCCAGTAAGCTACCAAACAAAATTCAGTAATGTATGCAAATGTTATTGACTGTTTTCTAGTTTCAAGTATTTCGTACGAAAAGCTCTTCCGAGTCCCCAGTGGCGAAATTGGTAGCGCGGTACTTATACAGCGGTATTGCGAGTAATGCCGGGCTGTGTGTTCAGCTTCATCTGGGGAAGCGCTTTTTTTTCGATAACCTTTACTGATTCTAATCTTGGCTATAAAATAACTCTTCTAATTAGCATTCTTAAGACATTTGTTCTTCGTCCAAGTTTTCTAAACATGACGAGTATTATGCAGCAAATTATTGAATGTTTTTTCACATTTTTCAATATTTCTGTACAGAAAAAGCGCTCGAGTCCCCAGTATCGCAATTGGTTAGCAGCACTATATAGCAGTATCTGCGAGTAATGCCGAGGCTGTGAGTTCGTTAGCCCCTCCCTGGGGAAGCGCTATTTTCGATAACCTGACTCGATTCTAATCTATCTTCAATAACTCTTCTAATTAGCATTCTTAAGACATTTGTTTCTCCAAGTTTTCAAAAATGACGAATATATATTTTTGACAATGTTTTGCAGCATTCAATATATTTTCCCATGACCCCAACAAAATAAATATGCAGTAAGGCGAAATTATTGAGCTGTTTTTCGTAGTTTTCAATATTTCTGGACAGAAAAGCCTCTCGAGTCCCCATGGAATTGGTTAGCGCGGCTCTATACAGCAGTATCTGCGAGTAATGCCGAGTGCTGTGAGTTCAGCCTCACTGGGGAAAGCGCTTCTTTTTCGATAACCTTATCTCGATTCTAATCTGGCTTAAATAACTCTTCTAATTCTGATATACGACCAGATATTGTCTT